GCCGCTGTTCATCTCGAGGCCCACGCATACTCTCGTGATAAACCCGCTTGAGGGGTGTGAGGTCTCTTACCAGTGTGGTGGTCTGTTTTGATTTTAATATAGAGAGTTTTAATATGAATTTGCAATAACTAAAGTTACTAGTAATTCAAGTAGGCTTTAAGATTATATTGGTCTCTTAGATGGTTTGTACCAGTTTGATGCTCCTTTATTTGAATGACGAGATATATATATAATTGAGTTCTAGTTCACCATGTTGTGCATGGCTGACGTTTTGTTTAACTATGAGGTCATATGCAGATAATGGGCTTATTTGGGGAGCAAAATGGATTAAATACGGAACCTCATAGATGACTACTTTCGAAAAATAGTAAATCATTCGTTCATATGAGCTTAGTATACGTGCATGCGGACATATTTATTTTTTATTCAAAATTCTTTTTATACGTGGACATGTTGTTTTCTCCAAAAATAATTTTGTTAATAGTTAGGCAGCACACACGCAATACATGCACGCACATATGATAAGAATGTATGTCGCGTGCATATGAATGAGAGGGGCCTTTAGCGAGAACTCTGAAAATTTTAATCCACTTTGTATACATTTTCTTCTAAGAAAATATGAACAGTAAAGGATACCGAATGAAGTTTAAAAACTTTCATCCAAACAAATTGCTCTTTTACCCATGAATCCAGCAACATTTATTAATTGCTTCATTCACTTTGAGAATGTTATTAAAATATCATTTACAGAACCAATATATATAAGCCTACAGCTTCGGTGCTCCCTAAAGATTTGTTGGAGCACTGGTGGCATATCTGTAAATAATTTCCTTAAAAATAGCTCTCATATTTTTAGGTGGATAGATTTGGCGGTTAGGAGGTGTTCCACACCTAAAATTGTAATTAACTATAGGTAAAAAGGTTATTTTAGGAAATACAATTTAGAAGAAAACAGAATTTATGATTAGTTAGAATTCTCCAATTCACGTTATAATTTTTTACCGCCTTATCAAGTCACGCTCCGCCTGTAGAAAAAAAAAACTATTTGCTCCGAAAAACAAATCAATCAAACAAAGCAAAATATTATCGATAACTCACAGAAAATAGAGGGAAAACGAAACCCTAATTTTTTACCTGGAAGAAGACGCAGCTTAAGTTCAGGCTTTCAGCTCTTCGACTTTATATTAAACTCTTTAGTGTCTAAACTATTTTGGAGAAGATGACGCTCACGCCGATCCGCACTCGATCGCCGTCTCCAAAAAATCTCGTGAAGGCCATGAAAGGTAAGTCTTTTTCATTTTTAAAAAATGTTAATTATGTAATATGATCTATTGTCTTTAATTAGTGTTGGGACAAACGAATATTAGGCGCCTGACATATAGTTGCAGCAACTTATGCTTAAATTTTTTAATTATTTAGTTTGATGTAGTCGCTTTCGTTGCTTTCGTTGTAGATGTAGTAGCTTTCACAACAGCAACTTTCGGTTAAATTTTTTTAATTATATAGAATGATGTAGTCGCTTTAGTTACTAAATTAAAAACATAATCTCCATGTTTATAAGCTAATTAAAAGATGGCTACAATTTTTACTACAGAAGTTCTTACAGCTTGCATGCATGCACTTTCTCTATCACACATGAACATATGGCCATGGTGCAAAATTAAAGACTTTTAGTTTCAGTTCATAGTCCAAAGAGTCATAAATTTCATCATCTAATACTTAAAAATTATATGATGCTGAACTAGTAAATTGATGTGATCTACCATATGGAATTGTCTGTGATACAACTATAAACTTTTATTGACTTCTTTGAAAGAAAAAAAAGTCACAATCACATATATTTAAGCGATTTATTTAGGAGTTATAATTTTATTTTTCTTGTACTTATTTTTGATATTTAATTGAAATGTAGAAAATGTCAGAGAGGAGTCTATTGGTATTTATTGCAATCCAACAAAAATGTTCAATATCGTAAGTGGCTTAACAAATGTACAAAAACAAGCGATAGTGGATATGGGTTTGGGAGGTATTTTATATATTCCTGATATAAGAATGCGTCGTTGCCTTTGTTATTGGTTAATGATTAAGGTAAATATAGAAACACGTATAATTAAAATAAGAGATTACGAGGTGTCACTATCAGAAAAGGATGTCGTTTACTTGATGGGATTACGTGCTGAAGGTGATATTGTTATGCTTTGCAATGAAAGTGTTGACCCGGAAAATTTGAAATATTATGTTGAACCATTCACGAAGAAAATTACAATCCGACACCTTATAAATTGTATTGGTTCATCTGATGGAGCAGACGATCATTTAAAAAAATCTCTTCATACAATTGGGCTAGATTCACTCTTGACTTTTTATTTTCAAGCATTACAAGTCAGAGGAAAAAAATGCGAAGTACATAAATGGGTGTATGCTTCTGTTACAGGTAAATTCTTTAATTTAAGTGAGCTAATATTTTTGTTTTTACTATTTTATCTTATAATAACTATATATGCTTGTCATTTATATTAGCTGTGGTATTATGAGCACTTCAGATTTCCGGGTAATGACTTTGATTACAATGCTAAAAGTCTTCCAATAATGGCACATTGGACTGAGAAGCGATGTGCATCAAGAGAGAACTATGAAAATTTATTTGGTCGTGCTGATAACAAAATGTATCATGAATTACAAAAAAAAAGGTAGATAATTAGTTTGGTTATTGGATTATTTTATATTATTAAAACCAAATGTGCATTATTAATGTTCTTTCTTATAGCTAGTAGTAGTATTTGATTTAGCGATGCCTTACATGCAACAAGAAACAACTCAGGCTTCAGAAGGACAACATACAACAACATCCAATCAAAAGGTATGTGAGGTTTAACTATTGATTCTTTTTTTAGATTTCAACAACATCCAATCAAAAGGTATGTGAGGTTTAACTATTGATTCTTTATTTAGATTTAATCTAGCTTAGTACCCACTTAAACTTTTTATTATATTTAATTTTATCTTTGTAAATATGTTTTTAGGAACATTATGCTACTTTTGAAAATAAATTCAATGGTCAAGCTGGTCAAAGCTTGAGGCCAAATCATGGAGAAGAAAAAAAAGAGGCGAAGGAGGAGAAGGAAAAAGACGAAGAGGACGAGGAAAAAGATGAGGTTTCAGATGAAACATTTGATGACATTGACAAACATATGCTATCATTTCGTATGGCTTCAATTGAACGGAGTGTGCATTGCTTAGAAAATAATATAAAAAAAATTATGCTTGAAATTACACAAGCTATCTTCGAGATGAGAGATGATGTTTCCACGCTCAAATCCGACATCAGAGAAAGCAAATTATATTCAAAGGTTAAAATTTTGGTTATGCATTATATTACTTGTAAACTTCTTTTTTACACATATCCTAACTTAATTTTTTATCACCTCTGTTTCTAGAATCATATGCAGAGAATTGAAGAAAAATTATGCAATATTTGCATTAGTCTTAAAGGAGAATCATTTGAAAAAGAAAGGAGAAATCCACTTAGCCATGGTAGTAACATCGGAGAAAATAGTGTTCATGTAGATTTAAATATGGAACCTCTTAATATGGATTCAGAGTGGATGAATGGTGAGACTTATATGTCACCTCATCATGAGCAAAGGGAAAGCAGCAAGAAGCATCAAACTACATTAGAAAATATGAAACCATTAAGAAGTGTACAGAAAAAAATGTCATTTGCACAAAAAAAATCAAAGGAAGTTGAGGATACTATCAACATGTGCCAACGTAATAAACATTCACATGAAGAGAAAATCATATCTGCTTTTCAGGGAGCAGAAAAGGAAGATCCTGACTTACTACCTCTAGGACTTACACAAGATGAAGTTATTGCTATAACTTATTACAAGGCATGTATAAGGAAAGGAGAGAAAATTAAGTCTTTTGTTCAAATAGGTGATATCATTCTCACTGGAGAATATTTGAAGCCTTTGCTTGCAAGTGGAAACTTTGGAATTGATGCATGGTTATCAAATGAGGTACTTATTCTTTATTCTATACAAAATCAAATGCATTTGTGGTAATCGTAAAGTTATTCTTTGCATTGTGACTTTGGTTTGGTGAATGTAAGTAGTAACTTGGTGAATTAAAATTATATTTTTCAGATAATTGATGCATATACATATTTGCTTAGACTACGAAGCAGTAATCAGAACTTCGACAACAATAAGATTAGCTATCAATCATGCTTCGCGTATGGCTTGCTTCAAAGAAATGTGCAACAAGGAGTAACATCATCATTTCATAATATAAAAAAATATGCTAATGATGTTCGTGAAATAATGTCATCTGATATGGTATATTTACTATTATGTTTATATTCCCTACAAAGTTTCTCAAATAATTCAGTTGATAATTCTATGACTAAGTCTTTTTTTATTATCCATGTTTTTATAGGTGTTAGTGAAGGAAATCATTGGTATGTTGTTGTTATGCTCCCTCAAATCAGGAAGTTCCAAATCCTAAACTCGATGCTTGGTGGAATGGTTGAATCACAATACAAAACAGTTAGCATGAATTTTGTAAGTACATACTAAATACTCACATTCATTATTTTGAAAAGGCGTTGAGTTATATTAATGAACTCTCTATGACAAATATCATCTACTATGAATACAAATATCATCACTATCGTTAACTAATGTATCCATAAGTGAGTTGTCAATTCGAATGACTCAAAGTGGTACTTGTCCAGGCGATTAAAACCTGGAGGTGGAGGAGTTAATGCAGCTAAATTCAAAGCAGCATTAAAACGCCCAATAGTTGTGCGCTATATTCAAAGCAGCCAACAATTTAGAAGACATTAACGACCAATACAATTAGCTCTTGCATAAGAAACCATATGCGAAAACTGAGCATTAATTGGAAATCATCCATAAAAACGCCCAGAGCTACAAGAACACCGATCAGCTGAGAGCTTGCATGGAAGTTACAGAAGAAACAGTAAACCAAGGTTCTGGAATGAAAACAGATATTTGCCTGCATAAATTTTAAAACAAATTGTTTGAAGCTTTAATCTGAAAGTAGCTCCACGCATTACCAGAATTAGCTAGCAACTACTACATAATTACCACATGAAAGAAAGAAACAGAGAAATTAATGCTTGAGACACACTTCTAAGACATATGATACATTCAACGGTTCATCCATCACAAATCCAAAATTTGAACCCTATTAAGTTTAACAGAATGAAAGAGATAGCTTGTTTGCTTTATTTTCATTATAATGAATCCAATAAGCAGAATAACATGTCAAAAAAACTAAAGTTTAAGACAGAATAACATGAGAGTGTAGTCTAGCTAGCATTATTCCAAACACAAAAAGCAGAGTCCAGAAATTGTCCAGGTATAGGAGATGAAATAATCAAGAACAATCCTCGCTTCCAAATCTCTTAGGGCCACCTCATTAGCCTTTTCTCTTCAGTTATCTCTTAATCTTCCCATTCGCTCTGTTAATTCACAAATACCAATCTTGTTTCACTGCCTTCCACATTCATAAATACCAATCTTGTAATCTTTGTTGAAAAGAATTCGTAAGACCTTCCAAGCATCTGGGAATAAGAAACATTCACATTCAGATTCAGATACAATAATAAGCCATAAGATAAACCATAAGCATGTATAATAATATTATATACCTAGAATGTGCAAAGTTTTCAAGATAAAGTTGTTTCCAATCAATGCAGGTTGTAGTCTTCTTGTGACCATGTCTTATCAGATGGAAAATATCGCCTGTAATTGAAAAACATTAATTATTTTTACATTTTAGATAAGAGAATACGCAAAAAAATGTAATGATCATAATCTAATTAGAATTACCCAGTGTCGTTATTCACCTCTTGTTTGTCAATGTTGTTTACTGAAATACTTGGACAGCTCCGAATATTATGACATTGTTGGTTGCACATGCCACAGCGGTTAGTTCGTTTTTTACTGTATGCCTTCAATCTTTTTCTGGGTGCGCCTTTCGTCTTTGCTCGGATGGGATCTAGCACGATTGTTGTATCTCCATCCTCATCTACATTTATCTCACATGTTCCATTATCTGAGTTATAATCATTATATGCTTCAGATTTATTTTCCTTCAGTTTAAATGATGCTAATTTGCTATTAAGAAAATTCATAAGCTCAGAAAATTGATCTTCGGACTTAGCTGTCTTATAACACACTTGTTTTGCTAGTTTCAGCAATTTTTGGTTTCTAATTGCATGATCTGAGACTTCATTCACTATGCCATGTCTATCAGAAGCAAATCCAGCTTTAACATTTTTAGTCCACCGTGGCCAAATACAACACTCCGGAAATGATGTAATATTTAAATATTTCATTAAGGAAAACATATGACTGCACGGTGTTCCTTTTGTTTCTAGTTGCAAGCATTCACATGCTAACTTGACTAACTTTCCATTTTCCCATTTACAACAAACTATTGTGCGCACCTCTGGATTTGAGTCAATTGTGATAACAAAGTTGTGAAGTCCGTCCACAATGTTGTGCCCTACGATACAATATTTTTTTCCTTTTTGCATGTCAATTTGAATTAGATCAAAAATAGCACGTGTATAAACATCAGCAACATATAACTGTCATGCCCCGCTTCCCAAAATACCGGGAATCGGAACGTGAACAAGCCCGCGACGTATTAGATTAAGAAGAAATATACACTATCATTTTTTTTCTTTTCTTCTCAACCTAATACGCTAAGCGTCTGGAAACAATACAATGCAAAGGCACAGGTCCCCAATCACAGTAGCGAGAATATAATAAACAACACAGACAAAAAATATACATATCACAACTGAAATATCATCCGAGACACAAAGTTTGGGTCAAACATGCCCTTATTACAAACAGTTCAACTAAAATAAGAAAATACATAGTCTGACAAAATAAGAAGGAAGTACTGCAAAATAACTAAGTCCATCGAAAGACTAAAGGGTAAGGTACTACATAAGTAATCTAGTGTCCATCAGTGATTACGTAAAAGAAAAGGTTAAGCTTCCGTCTGTTCTTCTGTTCCACCTGGAAGACACTCCGGCTGGGCATACTCCTGCTCTAATGCATCATCATACTGGACCTGTCCGTCCTCTAAATCTGACGTACACCAGAGAAAACAGGTGTACGTCAGCGCACATAACGTACGGCAAGATCCCACAAGGAAAGTAGAAACGGTCGAACGACCAATGCAAGAACAATAATAATAATAATAGTAATAATCTAAATGAAATCCACCACCAAAATATAATAATCAGAAGAATCAAAAATCGATCGGGTAACGAGGTCCTGCAGCTAGCAATCAAACTAATCATCCAAGTAACGAGGTCATACTACTAGCCATTGTATAACAGGTCACTGGTCACATCTCACACAGAGTCAACGCTCCTGTCATCGGATAACTGGCTGTTCACAAATCCCCTACGCGCATCCAATACCGCTACACGAATCGGTCAGAGGACTACACGCAATCCGATTTCGGCCTGGTCCGAACTCAAGCAGAACTCGGGTGACTACACAAATTCACTGACTAAAGTGACTACACGAATTCACTTTAGCCCAACAAACCAACCCCAGTGACTACACGAATTCACTGGTGTGAGCCTGGAAGATACATCAACAGTCTTATCCGATCACATGAACACTAACTTCCCCATCCCAACTCTCTTGTTTTTTCTAAGCTAACTTATACACAGGTTTCTAAGTCTTAAACCGGACACACTAGGCCACACTAGTCATGGTTTTCTAACGGTTCTCAAGCATAACAAAGAGTAATAAACACAACTAATCATATACAGCAAGATCATAACATATCACATAATTAAAATTAAGAAACATAAATTATGAAAAATTCATAATAATCCCTTTTCTAAAATAACTCTTTTAAAAGATATTTATAAATGTTCTAAATAATTCCTTTTATAAAATAAATCCTAAAAAAATATTTATAAATGTTCTAAATAATTTCTTTTATAAAACTTTCTTAAATTACTGAAATTATTCTAAATTGATACTTATAAATTCTTTTAAATTATAATTATTCTAAAATAATTCTTTTGTCAAATAAATTCTATTGTTTTATTATAATTACTCTAAAATGATTTTTCACCAAAATAGTAATTATTTTAAATTGATTATTTTGTCAATAAAATTCTTTAAAATTATAAATTAATCTAAAATAATTTTATTTTATTTTATCTTTACAGTATCTATTATCAAAATATTATTTTTAGTATCATTCGTCAAATAAATCCGTGCAAGTCATCACAGTATATGTATTACAATATGAATGGTCATACATTATTGTCCACAGTCCATTTCGTTCACAACAGTTCTATACGTTATAGTTCTCAGTCCAATATGTTCACGACAGTTCCGTATTTGTAACGAATAATTATTCGGTAACGAGTTCGTATGTAAAATAAATTTGTGATCAATCTAAAATTATACTGAGCAAGAATAGGGATATTGCCTCGGGTTTTTGTCGAACGATTCGACTTCGACGGTGGGTCTGAGGCTGACGGGGCGGAGTTTCTGGACATGGAAGGCTGCTGTCGGGCTGGCGCGGTACTGTAGACAAGCAGCGGGGTGGTTGCTGGCTGGGCGGCGCTGGTGGCAGCTCGACAGAGCGCTTAGGGGAGGCGGAACTCGCTGGTCTTCGTCGGAGGAGGGAGAGAAAAAGAGAGAGAGAAGGGGAGAGAGAGAGAGAGAGAGAGAGAGAGTTGTGTACGAAGGAGAGAGGGGGCTGGGTGGGGTTTAAATAAGGGAAAAAATGAATAAAAAAATTGAAAAAAATAAAATAAATTAATGAATGCGGTGCGCTTGAAGCCATTTTTTTGAAAAGAAGAGGATGGAGAGAACGGGGTTGTTGGGGTAGCTGATGGGGGTTCGACGTGGGAAACAAAAGCTGGGGTTATTTTCAAATGGGTTCGGGTATTTAAACGAAAATAATTAAAATAAATAATTTCGGGTACTTAAAAATTAAACTAATTACATAATAATTATCTATAAGTAAAAACGTACATTTTGAGCTAATACAATAGTTGATATGAAACTGTCGAAAATATACCTGTATTGTACAATTAAACGGAAATAATTAATAATAAAAATATATTTACTTATGTTTAAAATGAAATAATTATGTGACAATTATCTACACGATAAAACGTACCAGTTATGCTAATACGACAGCTGATACGTAATAATACAATAATTTACACAAATAATACGTAATTAATAATTTAATATAATACAAGAATTAATACGTAATAGTAATAATAATACGACGTATTATTTAAATTAATATGTAATAGTATCAGTAACACAACGGATAAATCCTAAAAATTTTCATTGCACTAAATTAATTTATAAATATAAAAACCATTTAAATAAATATAAAACTTAGACTTTAAATCATAGAAAATTCTAGAAAATCAAGAAAAATACAAATACTCTTTTAAAAATCATAATTAAATATTTTAAAATACCAAAAATTTATTTTAACTAGTATCAAAATTTTACGGTCATTACATTCTACCCCCCTTAAAACAAATTCCGTCCTCGGAATTAAAATAATAGTGATGTATAAAGAACCCAAGGACAGGGATCTCTCAACACATATAGAGAATGATTCAAATAACTGCATATTCATAAGCAGGGAGAAAGTAGGACAAGAACAATACAGGGTAAAGTACAAGATGTAACAACTAAGATTCAGAAAACAGATGAGGGTATCGTTGTCTCATTTCAGACTCAGTCTCCCAAGTCGACTCGCCAGGAGAATCTGGGTGCCACATCACACGAACGAGCGTGACGGTCATGTTCCGGAGAGTCTTCTCTCTTCGGTCTAAAATCGCCACAGGCGGCTTCTTGTATGTCAAATCAGGTTGCACCTCAATCTCCTAGAAATCTACGATATGACTCGGATCTCCGACATATCTCCGCAACTGAGAAATGTGGAATACGTCATGCACTCCAGCCAATGCGGGTGGTAATGCAAGTCGATACGCCACTTCTCCAACTCTCTCTAGTACGTCAAAAGGTCTCACATATCGTGGACTCAACTTCCCACGCATTCCAAAGCGAATGTTACCTCGGTTGGGGGAAATCTTTAGGAATACATGGTCTCCTGGCTGAAACTCCAAATGTCGACGCTTCGCATCCGCCCAATGCTTGAATCGGTCCTCTGCTATGCGAAGTCATTCTCGGATGATTCTGACGGCATCAACTGACTTGTCAATCAACTCTGGCCCAAAAATCTCTCGTTCACCAATATCGTCCCAACTTAAAGGAGAGCGACACTTCCTCCCATATAATGCCGCGAAATGAGCCATTCCAATACTAGCCTGGAAGCTATTGTTGTATGAAAACTCAACCAAATGCAAGTGATCTTCCCATGACCCGTGAAAGTCAAGCATACAGGCTCTAAGCATATCCTCCAAAATCTGAATGGTCCTCTCTGATTGCCCATCGGTCTGAGGATGATAAGCTGTGCTGAAACTGAGATTGGTCCCAAGACTCGCCTGCAAACTCTTCCAGAATTCTGAAATAAATCGGGTATCGCGATCCGAAACGATGCATACTGGAACTCCGTGCAATCGTACGATCTCTTCCATGTATCTCTGAGCAAGATATTCTGTTGACTGTCCTACTCGGAATGGAATAAAGTGAGCCGATTTGGTTAATCGATCTACGATCACCCAAATAGCATCATTCTGTCTAGTACTCCGAGGTAAGCCAGTAACAAAGTCCATGGTAACATGTTGCCACTTCCATTCTGGAATAGGCAATGGTTGCAAAAGGCCTGCGATGCACTGATGCTCTGCCTTCACCTGCTGACATACAAGGCACTTCGCCACACTACGAGCCACAACTCTCTTCATACCACGCCACCAAAAGTTTAGTTTCAGATCCTTGTACATCTTCGTACCTCCAGGGTGAATAGAGTACGGTGAGCTGTGAGCTTCCCGTAATATCTCCTCTCGAACATCTCCTTCTGGTACGCAGATACGACTCCCAAATCGTAAGGATCCGTCCTCATGAACAACAAATTCTGGCCGAAGACCAGACGATGCTAACTCTCTGCACTTCTGAAGAAATGAGTCACCTGATTATGCAGCCTTGATTCGCTCGACCAATGTCGATTGAATCTGAAGATTCATCAAGAAAACGGTGACTCCTAGAAGAAAAACTTCTATACTCATATCTCTCACTTCCTGCTGAAGTTTCCACTGAGCCGTGAGGGTCATGATTGCTGGCAAACGGCTCAAAGCATCTGGTACTACATTAACCTTGCCAGGGTGGTACTGAAGGTCAATGTTGTAATCTACCATCAGTTCTAACCATCTACGTTGTCTCATGTTGAGCTCCTTCTGAGTAAATATATACTTCAAGCTCTTGTGGTCAGTGAATACCTTCACTTGCTCTCCCAACAGATAATGTCTCCAAAGCTTAAGAGAAAAAATCACAGCTGCTAACTCCAGGTCGTGGGTAGGGTAATTCTGCTCATGCTTCTTTAACTGACGAGACGCATACGCTACCACATGACCATCTTGCTGAAGTACGCATCCCAATCGTCTTCCTGATGCGTCGCAAAACACCTCAAAGTTTCCACTCTTATCTGGTATCGTCAATACCGGGGCAGAAATCAATTGAGACTTTAACTCCTCAAACGCCTGCTCACAAGCTTCGGACCAGACGAATTTAATATCTTTCCTCGTAAGAAGCGTCATCGGTTCCGCAATCTTCGAGAAATCCTTGATGAAACGTCGATAATATCCAGCTAATCCCAGGAAGCTCTTAATGTCGGACACCGACTTAGGGGTAGGCCAATCTTTCACTACAGATACCTTCTCCGGATCCACTGATATGCCGCCTCCTGACACCACGTGTCCCAGAAACGCTATACGATCTAGCCAAAACTGACACTTACTATACTTGGCGAATAGTCGATGCTCTCTCAAGGTCTTCAGTACGTACCGCAAGTGCTCTGCATGCTTTGCTTCATTCTTAGAGTACACCAGGATATCATCGATAAAGACTTCTACAAACTTGTCCAGCACATCATAGAATACCAGATTCATCAGGTTCATAAATGTCGCTGGCGCATTAGTCACACCAAACGACATCACTAAGAACTCATAATGTCCATATCTTGTCCGGAACGCAGTCTTGGGAACATTAGAGTCCTTGACTTTCACCTGGTGATATCCACTCCGTAGATCCAGCTTAGAAAATACTCTCGATCCTCCCAATTGGTCAAAGATATCATCAATACGGGGAAGAGGATACTTATTCTTCACTGTCACAGCATTCAACTCCCGGTAGTCGATGCACATCCGCTTGGATCCATCCTTCTTTCCCACAAGCAACACAGGTGCTCCCCAGGCCGATACACTGGGTCGTATCAAGCCTCTCTGCAAAAGATCATCCAACTGAGTCCGAAGCTCGGCCAACTCAGCTGGAGGCATACGATAAGGAGTCTTGGAGATCGGAGCAGTTCCAGGCTTTAATTCTATGGAAAACTCAATTGCTCGATCCGGTGGCAACCCATAAATATCGTCGGGAAACACATCTTCAAATTCCCGAACTACAATTGGCTTCTCGGGTTCCACCTGCATAGCAACAAACGTCGCCTTCTTCGGTCTAGCTCTATACTCTACCGGTCCAGCCGATGTACTACCACTGAGGAATTCAAACCTCGGGTGATCCGGTATCTCGAATACTACGCTCCGACGACGACAATCAATGGTGGCAAAGAACGATCCCAACCAATCCATTCCAAATACTGCATCGAAACTCGGCAGATCAATCACCAGGAAATCTGCAAAGAGCTCTCTCCCGCTGATGACTACAGGGCATGATTCATAACCACTGGACGCTACTAAAACACCACTGCCAGTATTGATATTCCAGCCTGTGGTCAGAGGAGTTATAGGAAGAGAGTGGGCGGTCGCAAATCGACGAGATAAGAAACAATGGGAAGCCCCAGAATCAAAGAGTGATAAAGCCGGAACAGAGGAAACAAGGACCTTGCCTATTTTAGGAGAGGGTAATTACGACTAAGCTTAGTACTCATAACAATTCCTATCATGCTTTCATCAGGTAAGGCTAGATAAGGAAAAATTCATATGCAAGTAAAACTAAGAATGAACAGTTCTTACCAGTGATAACTTGATCGTTCGCCTCAGCTTCCACAGCTGACATCATGAATGTTTGACGTGGAGGTTGCTGCGTTTGTGCTTCCTGATAAAGCTGTTGTTGTGGAGGGAGAGGTCCAGTTCGAGGGTAGGATCTGTGCTGGGGCTGTGCTGCTGGTGCAGGTCGAGGTGGAGCTGGAGGAGCTGCTCGAACTGGAGGTGGGGGCAAACGAGCCTGCTGTTTCTGAGGACAATCTTGACTCATATGGTCGGGGGACCCATAGCTGAAGCATAGATGAAGACGCCTAGGGCAATCCTGCTGAGTATGACCAGGGTAGCTACAATAGGAACACCTCACCGAAGGCTGGCCGCGAGTCTGCACTCCCGGGCGCTGATAAGGGTGACTCTGATGAAATGGCTGACGCTGAGAATGCTGCTGCCTCTGCGGGTTCTGCTGCTGCTGTCTCGGAGGGAGACGCTCGACACTTCGGGTCGGAGCTGTTGGTGTCCTACTCTGAATCAAGTGTGAATCTTCTGGTTCCTTCTGCACGCTCTCAATCTCACGTGCTGCATCCAATACGGCGTCGTGAGTCGTGAGAGCCCTACCAGCCAAAGCCAATCTGATATACTTGTCCAGACCTTTCTGGAACTGGTGCCTCCTGATAGTGGGGTCTGTGACCAAGTGTGGAGCATATCGGCTCAAGGAAGAAAATTCAGCCTCATACTCGTCGACTGATCGACCCCCTTGCTTGAGCTCGACAAATTTACGCAGGAGCTCATCTCGGGCCGATTGAGGAAAATACTTCCTATTGAAGCGATCAATGAACGTCTCCCACAGAATCGGCCTCTCTAGGTGTGTCTTCTCAGCAGCCCACCAGATTCGAGCTGTATCTGTGAGCTGGACATCCATAAGGTCTACCCACTCTGCAGGAGCAATGCGGGTCACCGTAAGGATAGTCTCGGTAACTTTCAGGAACTCTTCTGCTGCTAGAGATCCTTCGGCACCGGAGAAAGAAGGAGGTCGCATATACCGAAACTCCCTAACACCAGGTTCTGTACGAGGGGGAGGCTGGTGAGGCTCCCGCTGCAAGTTCCCAGCCAAATGCTGTTGATTCGTCGCTAGTCCCTGAATCATTGCCAAAAGTTGGCGTGGGTCCACTTCGGGCGGAGGGACATCACTACTGGACGGGTTACCATTGCTACGTGTACCCACCATGGTTCTGAAGGGAAGGCAACAAGGATCAAAATTATTGCAGGAAAAATCAAGTTAAGATCAAAATCGAAATTGGTTAAGGTAGGGACGGAAACAAGATTGGTCAAGATACTAGGATAAAGGCTAAGTATAGTCTTACGGATGAAATATGATATGCGTCTAAATTATTCATTATATTCTCACTGGTAGGAAATCGGGATCGTGACCGGGACCTTGACCTGCATAGGCCACCAATAAAACCTGTCACGCCCCACTTCCCAAAATACCGGGAATCGGAATGTGAACAAGCCCGCGACGTATTAGATTAAGAAGAAATATACACTATCATTTTTTTTCTTTTCTTCTCAACCTAATACGCTAAGCGTCTGGAAACAATACAATGCAAAGGCACAGGTCCCCAATCACAGTAGCGAGAATATAATAAACAACACAGACAAAAAATATACATATCACAACTGAAATATCATCCAAGACACAAAGTTTGGGTCAAACATGCCCTTATTACAAAACAGTCCAACTAAAATAGGAAAATATATACTTCGACAAAATAAGAAGGAAGTACTGCAAAATAACTAAGTCCATCGAAAGACTAAAGGGTAAGGTACTACATAAGTAATCTAGTGTCCATCAGTGATTACGTAAAAGAAAAGGTTAAGCTTCCGTCTGTTCTTCTGTTCCACCTGGAAGACACTCCGGCTGGGCATACTCCTGCTCTAATGCATCATCATACTGGACCTGTCCGTCCTCTAAATCTGACGTACACCAGAGAAAACAGGTGTACGTCAGCGCACATAACGTACGGCAAGATCCCACAAGGAAAGTAGAAACGGTCGAACGACCAATGCAAGAAAAATAATAATAATAATAGTAATAATCTAAATGAAATCCACCACCAAAATATAATAATCAGAAGAATCAAAAATCGATCGGGTAACGAGGTCCTACAGCTAGCAATCAAACTAATCATCCAAGTAACGAGGTCATACTACTAGCCATTGTATAACAGGTCACTAGTCACATCTCACACAGAGTCAACACTTCTGTCATCGGATAACTGGCTGTTCACAAATCCCCTACGCGCATCTAATACCGCTACACGAATCGGTCAGAGGACTACACGCAATCCGATTTCGGCCTGGTCCGAACTCAAGCAGAACTCGGGTGACTACACAAATTCACTGACTAAAGTGACTACACGAATTCACTTTAGCCCAACAAACCAACCCCAGTGACTACACGAATTCACTGGTGCGAGCCTGGAAGATACATCAACAGTCTTATCCGATCACATGAACACTAACTTCCCCATCCCAACTCTCTTCTTGTTTTTCTAAGCTAACTTATACACAGGTTTCTAAGTCTTAAACCAGACACACTAGGCCACGCTAGTCATGGTTTTCTAACGGTTCTCAAGCATAACAAAGAGTAATAAACACAACTAATCATATACAGCAAGATCATAACATATCACATAATTAAAATTAAGAAACATAAATTATGAAAAATTCAAAATAATCCCTTTTCTAAAATAACTCTTTTAAAAGATATTTATAAATGTTCTAAATAATTCCTTTTATAAAATAAATCCTAAAAAAATATTTATAAATGTTCTAAATAATTTCTTTTATAAAACTTTCTTAAATTACTGAAATTATTCTAAATTGATACTTATTCTAAAATAAATTCTTTTAAAATATTTATAATTATTCTAAAATAATTCTTTTGTCAAATAAATTCTATTGTTTTATTATAATTACTCTAAAATGATTTTTCACCAAAATAATTTATTATAATTATTTAAAATGATTATTTTGTCAAATAAATCCTTTAAAAATCATAAATTAATCTAAAATAATTTTATCTTATTTTATCTTTACAGTATCTATTATCAAAATATTATTTTTAGTATCATTCGTCAAATAAATCCGTACAGGTCATCACAGTATATGTATTACAATGTGAATGATCATACGTTATTGTCCACAGTCCGTTTCGTTCACGACAGTTCTATACGTTATAGTTCGTAGTTCAATATGTTCGCGTCAGTTCTATATTTGTAACGTGTAATTATTCGGGTAACGAGTTCGTATGCATAATTAATTGTGTTTTATTCAGATCAAAAATATACTATCTAAGAATAGCTATCTCGGTTTTTCGTTTTGCCCCCGAACATTGACTTCTTCGACGGGACGTAAACCTACCGAGTCGGCTTACCTCCGGTCTGAGTCTGACGGGGGGAGTCAGTTCTGACGTGAAGCTTGCCCCTTGTCGGGCGACTGCGCCCGTTGCGGTACTCCTAGACGCACCCAGCAGGATGGTGGTTGCGGCGGAGCGGCCGCTTCGGTCGGCAGCTCGACGACGCTCAGCGCTTTAGGCGAGTCAGCGGAGCTCCTTGGCCTTCGCTCGGAGGAGAACCTAGATGCGAGGGGAATTTACGGGAGGCTCGAGAGAGGGGAGGAGACTGACGAGCGTTTCTGCTGGTCAAAGGTAGCTGGAAGCGGCGGATCAGGAGCTGCAGAAACACAAGTCAGCATCAGGACGGCCGCGGGAAAACGGCAAGCGGCAGCTGCGTCGGATAGCACCTGACCTCGAGAGAGAGAGGAGCAGAGAGAGTCAGAGAGGAGAGAGATGAGAGGAGAGAGAGTTGTGTACGAAGGAGGAGGGTGTGGCTGGTGGTTTAAATAAGGAAAAATGAATAAAAAAATTGAAAAAATAAAATAAATAATGAAAGCGGTCGCTTGCGAGCCGTTGTTGTTTTAAAGAAGAGGAGGGAGGAACGGGGTTGTTGAGGTAGCTGATGGGGCTCGACGCGGGAAAGCAAAAGCTGGGGTTATTTTCAAATGCGGTTTGGGTATTTAAACGAAAATAATTAAATAAATAATTCGGGTACTTAAAAATTAAAACTAATTACATAATAATTATCTACAAATAAAACGTACATTTTTGAGCTAATACAAACAGTGTGATATGAAACTGTCAAAATGATGCTAATTTGCTATCAAGAAAATTCAATAATTAATAATAAAAATATATTTACTTACATTTAAAATTAAATAATTATGTGACAATTATCTACACGATAAAACGTACCAGTTATGCTAATACGACAGCTGATACGTAATAATATAATAATACAATAATTTACACAAATAATACGTAATTAATAATTCAATATAATACAAGAATTAATACGTAATAGTAATAATAATACGACATATTATTTAAAATAATACGTAATAGTATCGGTAAACCAACGGATAAATCCCAAAAATTTTCATTGCACTAAATTAATTTATAAATATAAAAACCATTTAAATAAATATAAAACTTAGACTTTAAATCATAGAAAATTCTAGAAAATCAAGAAAAATACAAATACTCTTTTAAAAATCATAATTAAATATTTTAAAATACCAAAAATTTATTTTAATTAGTATCAAAATTTTACGGTCATTACAATAACTCTAGTTTTCTTGTACAAGTTCTCAGATATGGAGTAAATTGGGAGGCTTTAGAGTCATCTGCTGCCTCGTTTCGACCTGATACACATCTATCATAGTGATGAATCATATCAACAAGAGTCATGCTATAGTTGAGATATTTGTGCAGAATAGAATTTATACTTTCACTGCGTTGTGTGCTTCTAAGACCTAAGAAAGTATGCCCATGTAAGTAGGTAGCAGCCCATAAATATTTTTTTTTCATACATTCTTAGTAGCCATTTTTTCTCTTTATTACCTATCTTATTAGCAAGAAGCTATTTCCATTTATTTTCAAACACTTCAGCTGTATATTTTCTTGAAATAAGGTCTTGGAAGACTTCTCTAACCGAATGATTTCTTATATTGTCATATAAGTTTTTTCCTATATGCCAAGAACACAACTGATGCTTTACGTCTGGAAACTCTGTGATTATAGCTTCACGCATAGCACTATCACCGTCGGTAATGACAGACAAAGGTTCTTTTTGATACATCGCCATCTTAAATGCCTTCAACAACCAAATATAGCTCGCAGTTGTCTCATTACAAACTACTCCACATCCAAATATTATTGTTCTCCGGTGATGGTTTAAACCAATAAATGGTATGAAAGGCATGGCATATTTGTTTGTTCGATAAGTACTGTCAAATAATAAAACATCACCAAAAGCTTCATAGTCAACTCTTGATTGAGAATCAGCCCAAAACAAATGTGTAAGATGGCCTTCATCGTCAGTTTTATTCAAATAGAAAAAATCTACATCTTTCCTTTTTCTTTGTTCCATCATATTCAATACAGTTTGTGCATCTCCATGTTCTATTATTCTTCGTGATATTTTACCCCACTTATTATAAATATCTTTTCTAATAAAACCAACCTTCTCATAACCTCCGTCTCTATACTCCATAAAATCCATAATTTTATTTTTAGGAATGCCACATTGTGCTAGCATATGAATTTCTTCCATTTGTACATCATCAACTCTTCGTTGAGAGCGAAGAAAGGGAACTTCATCTGGGCCTGCAAGCTCATGATTATGCATATCCCTTAAACTATAAACAAACCATCTCTGTGTTTCGTTATCAAAAAAAAATCTCAAGACATGCATTACAATTGCATCTGGATAATGACCGTTCTTTATATGTTCTATCTGCTCTATCCATATGCTTAGTTTCACGAATTCCTTCTTTAAAACAAACAAATTTGCGATAATAAAGATTGCCATTTTTATCATATCTCACTTTATCCCTTCGAATGCTAAAACCCTTCAAATTGGCATATGAATTATAAAACTCATACCATTCATTTTCAGTGGTATAGGAATTCAGAATTATGTCCTTGTATTCCATTAAGGATGAGCCTCAGGATTCACCTGTCATGCATATTAATTAATAAGACATTAGTAAAAAAATTTGTCATGCAGCGAAATATTAGCCCTATTAAATATTGTTGACTGATAGAAAAAATTGTTCTAAAAACAAGGTTCTTACAAGCAACATTGTTAATTGTTGGATGTCAGC